TTGGAAGCTCCATGGCCTCATGTGAAGCAGATGGAGATCAGAGGCGTTGGAAGGTATGTGGAAAGTATGGTTTCGAATCATACACCGACAGAGCAGGAGTCAGCCGAACCAGGTCTTCAGCTTGGTTTGATATCGAAACAGTCACAAGATGGTCGTGCGGAAATCAGGGAAAACCTGGCACGTATGGCCTTTCCGTATGAGAAGAGAGAAGAGCTATTAAAGCTACTGCCTGAAGATGCCAGACTCATCGTCGAAGAAGAGCAGGAAAGAGATTACGAAGAGCTGCACTGAATCATTGAGAGCACCGAGTATATTCTCGCAGTGGGGTGGTCAGACACAGTTTGTAGAATATGAATCACTTGCAAGTTCAATACCAAATAATGATGAGCTGTAAGTCAAACAGTTATATCGCCCATGGTGGCACGAAAGGCCAGGTGCTCAACAACATCCTCACCCACAGCGCGCGGCTAAACTCCCACATAATGTGGGGCCTCAACCCTATTGGCCCATCCCGAACCAAATCCTTCCTCGGTCTACTCACCCAGAGACCGCAAGGATGCGCAAACACGTTGAAAACCCGCGACCTTGGAAATGCTGGTTGCTGTTCCTCATTCGTGGAGTGAACAGCCACCGAAGGAGCGGGCCGTGGGTGTTCGAGCCGCGGCTCCACTTCATATGTAGGTACGAGTAATGTGAATACAGCGAGCGGCATGCATGTTGTATAGAGCATGCCGCATCCTGATATTTGCCTCCTAGATACTATCTGGTGTGTGGATCTACAATGAATCCTTCGGCTCGGTCTGGCGTGGGCTTTTGTTCATTTATCAAGATGGTCGACGAGGCTTGCTCGTGCAGCGCCCACACGTTCACTCTTTTTGACCAGCTGTCTTTTCGCTATGTCTGCGCCCAGGTCTCTGTTGTTTCTAGCTGCAAACGCCATCGGGGCTGTTGGAGGTCCGGTTGCTTTCCGCGATGTCGCACCTGCCGCCGCCACAGTCTCCACGAACTCGCCTGCCGGAGTTGCGCTTTTCCCGAACGAGGCAGTCCAATTGACCAACGACGCCCTGAATGCGGCTGCTCGCCAGACGAGTGAGATTGACGTAGTTTCACTTTTTGGCTTCGACAATGAGGAGGAGACGACGCATGGAATCAGCAGCGGTCAATGCAAAGTCTTTCCAGGCGATTCCGACTATCCGGAAGAGAGCGTATGGTCAGTCTTCGACAGCCTACTCGGAGGAGCGCTCATCAAGACCACTCCCATCGCTGCGCCATGCTACAAGGACTCGGCCTGGAATGACTATGATGAGGCGAAATGCGCAGACATCTCTGCTAAATTCACGACATCCGATCTCCACACGAGTGACCCGACCTCAATGATGTGGCCGCTCTTCCAGGGCCGTACATGCATGCCTACCGACGACCCTAGTGGCACATGTACGCTAGGTGGCTATGCATCTTACTCGATCGACGTCGAGAACGTCGCCCAGGTGCAGCTTGGTGTCAACTTTGCTCGTAACATGAACCTCAGGTTGACTGTCAAAAACACTGGGCATGACTACATGGGAAAGTCGTCTGGCGCGGGTGCTCTCAACATTTGGACGCACAATCTTAAGGACATCCGTTTCAATGAGAAGTACGATTCGGATGAGTACAGCGGCCCGGCGTTCAAGGCTGGTGCTGGTGTCCAAGGTTTTGAGATCCTGGAAGCTGCCCGCGATCACGATGTGACGGTCATGGCTGGTATCTGTGAAGTAAGTCATCGTGGTACACTGTATGTTGGAGGCGCAACTACTAATCCTAGACGCAGACTGTTGGATGGAGTGGTGGTTATGTCACTGGAGGTGGCCACTCACCTCTCGCATCCATCTATGGCATGGCCGCTGACCAAGTTCTTGCCTTTGAGGTCGTCACCGCCGATGGGCGCTTCGTAACCGCCTCTAACTCCAGCAACTCCGATCTCTTCTGGGCTCTTCGCGGAGGAGGCGGCGGAACATTCGGTGTTGTGACTTCAGTCATCGCCAAAGCCCATCCGAGAATACACGTTACCAAGTCTGTCTTCTCCTTCCAGGCCCCAGTCAACGACTCTGCCAATTTCTGGAAGGGCATCAACGCTTACATGAAGCGGTTTCCTGAGTTCACCAACGCTGGCACCTATTCGTACTTCTGGATCTGGAACTACGGTACGACGCTCGACTTCCAGATGACACCCTTCTTTGCGCCAAACCACACAATTGAGTCCTTCAATGCGCTGACGAAGGACTTCTTCGCCGACCTCAAGTCTTTCAATATCTCGGTAACCCCCAACACGACCTACCACGACGACTTTTACTCTGCCAACAAAGGCTCGTGGGGCGCGGATACACTCGGCGTGACCACCATTCGTCAAGCTACCCGTCTCTTCCCCAAGAGCCTTTGGGCAACCGAAGAGAAGTTCAACTCTTTCTACACCACTATCAGGGACACAGTGATGAACGGCCACACGGTCGGTGGTTACCACATGGCTCCGGGTAACCCTTCCAAGGTTGACAATGCTGTTAATGAAGCATGGCGCAACACCCAGTCTTTTCTGATTACCGCAAACATGGTTCCTGAAAACGCGACACCGGCACAATTGAAGGAAGCATCCGACTACCTTACGTACGACATCATAGACTCGTGGCGTGCAGTTGCTCCGGCGTCCGAGGGTGGCGGTGTCTATCTCAACGAGGCGGATATCCAAGAGCCAAACTGGCAAACCGACTTCTACGGCGCGAAGAACTACCCCAAGCTTCTCGCGATCAAGAAGAAGTGGGACACCAAGGGCGTCTTCTACGCGACAACAGCTGTTGGCAGCGAGGACTGGGAAATCAGGGATGGCGAGCAGGGGACTCAAACTCAGAACGGACGATTATGCCGTGTCTAATTTCGCAGCTTGTCGTGTTTCGGCGTGATTATGGATAGTGCTGCGCTTTCATGTTGTATACACATACACCCCCCGGTTCAAGTGCCTAGCGTCCGTTTCAGTCAGCGAATGAGCAGCCCTGGAGAGTGAAAAACTTATTGAAAAGCAATGGCCAGCGAAGATTCTGGAGTCATCATGCGCAGTTATCGAAATGTGCTGCTTTCTTTTGGGGTTATGCTTACGTTCCAACGAGTCACGACGTCTCTGCTTGTGGTGTTCTTTCTTGATGCTCAGAAGTTGTGAGACTTTCTCGGCGTCACACGTCGTCAAGTCGGAATAGTGAAGAAATTCGAATCATATTTTGCTGCGCCTTCAAGGCAAGAAACAAACTGTTGATTCATGAGGCATCTTGCAGGCCCGTCGTTGATGGTATTGATACTCGCCCCCTGAGAACGCGTTCGTGCTTTCCCCGCCCACTAGCGCAAAACACAGACGCGTCGCAACAGACGTCATAAGGATAGGGTGGGTGATCGCAATGCCGCCCTTTCTCATTTATCTCTGCTATTACCCTCTGAATCTGCGTTTTTGCCACCTCACTGCTCTTCGAAGACTGTCGCCATTTTTGGTTATTGGAATACAATCACATCAGGATCGCGCAGTTCCAACATGGCGTATGTGAACCCATACCCGATGCCGACTTTGGAGAACCCAACTGCGTCTTACCCGCCCATGTCGAACCAACCTATGCCGCATCCGCCTATGTCGAACCAACCTATGTCGCACCAACCTATGTCGAACCCGCCTCCTATGCCGCACACGATCATCTCGAATGCGCCTATGCCAAACCCGACTGTGTTAAACCCGACTACCTCGAACCCAACTATGCCTAACCCGAGCATGCAAATCATCGATGATGACGAAATAAGTTTTGAGCTTGAGAACAGGCCTGTGACGGAGAGTTGCGATGTCTTACGGTATGCGATTTTTCATTTAGTGACAATGTGCGCGTTGCGTGTTTCTACGCCGCCACGTTATATCAGGAAAAGAACGAATAGGTCTAGAGCCTACATCAATGTTAGGCCACCTACTTTGTAGGTTTCTATGTTAATGTAGGCTGCAGACCTATTTAGTTTTTTCCTAGGTTAACGTGCCGCTGTAAACATCTCCCAATTCTCCATGATCTGCGTACAGTATCTGATTTATATGCAGGCGTAAGATACGCACCTTGATTGACAATGGCGAAATGAAAGTGGGCGAGTTCCAAAAAGCAGTTGGCATTACGCCCAACGCGTACTCGCGATTCATGAGCCAGCATGGGAAGGACAAGGGAGTTGAGTCTTCTGTATATCCGGCAGCGTACGCGTTTTTCCAGCAGCGCGAGATGGCGGGCATCAAGACGACTGCGAACAAGAAGGCGAAGAAGAATGAAGGAGACGCGGCGAAGGATAGTGTGCCTAGTGTCGATGACGTGGAGCTGGATTTCGAGAAAGAAGATAAGGTACCAGTATACGGTAAGCTTCCGCACCACCATGACGGAAGAGATGTGAGGACTGACACGCTGATAGATACATGCGACGACGTCCGCCATAAGATCAACGCACACCTCAAGAAACCCGGCGTAACCCAGGCTGCATTCCTTCGCGCAGCCTCAGCGTCCTTCAACAACCCACCCAAGACCCTCAACGCGCGCCAACTCTCTGCTTTCCGCAGCAAGAAAGGGGCGTTGAATGGCAACACATCCGGCATCTATTATGGTTCGTACGTCTACTTTGAGAAGCTACGCATCAAAGAAGGAAAGCCCAAGAGCAAGAAGAGGCAGGAGATGGAGGAGATACATGCCAAGGATGGCGGAATCGACACAAAGCATATGCAGGACCGACTTACTACCCGGGAGGGTGACCATTGGCACCATGATGCTTATGGGAGGACGATCCTCAACGGGGAGATTCTTGAGTAGAGGTTGGGTGAGTGCCCTTTGCCTTGTAATATATGTGTTCGATGTGTCGTGGTAATAGAGTGGTATATACAAGTGACGTCCATTGTGCAGATGTCGGATGGTCCCCAACGCCATAAACGCCGATGCTTGATTGTGTGAAGCCGCCGAAGTAGTGTAAAGCGCTCATAGGGTGGCTGCTGCCTCAACAGCTCCAGCCAGCTTGAACGTCTTCGGACTCGAGAAAACGATTTCGACAGGGTATTTCCATTCCATAAACTTGGCCCATCCTGCAAAGATGTTAGCTACCTGCCATATATCCGGTCATCTAACCTTGAAGATGACGTACCCCAGTATGCGGCCTTCCTGCCAAAGTATTTGCCCAGATATGGCACCATGACCATTGTCAACAGCAGCTCCAGTTGTTGCAGCGACTCTCTCCATTCCCTGTCCGCGTCTGACATGTATTCTTCCTCATCGGCTGAGGAGCTTGTTGCCGAGGATGGTAACGAATCGATCTCGTCGTTGGAGGATGGCTCGATGAAGCTCTCGCTATTGCTCAGGGACATGGCGGCGGTGATGTTGGATAGTTGACAGGAGAGGGTGGTGGATTTATGACTGGATCGGCGGACTACCGTAGCAGCATTGGCGATAGTGACGGGATCGCGACGGCTATGGTAGGGGCGCGTTCGGTGAATGGTGTCGGAGCGCTCCAGCCAATGAGCGGAGGTGGGGCTCAGCGGCAGTCATCACGTGACGCGAATCTTGGCACTCAGCGTTCGACTCACACATGTGTTGCGGCGAACTTTGGGGTGACCGCCTGCCTGACTCTTCGACTCACCACGCCTACATGTCACTACGTACTCCGAATCGATACCAGAACATCCCCAGAACTCACTGAAGATCGAAAACACGAGTGCAACCGCAATCATGGCTGATTCTGTACGTCACAGCCCCACGTTCGCTTTCGAAATATCCTGTGCCTTGAAAGTGGGTTTGCTGCATGCCAGCTTCCTAGCTAGGACTTATTTCTAATTCCCTACAAAGAGCGACATACTAACGGACATCTACACAGGCCGATCTCCCTGACCGCAAACCCCGCAAGTCGGTCCAATTTTCCGAGGGTGCTACGATTGTCGACAGCAACGGCGACGTTACCGAATCACTAGAGATGAACGGCGACAAGGACTCCGCTGAGGGCCACGCCGCGAGTGCTGGTAAGATGGACCACACACTGGAAATACATCAGTCGCTGACAAGTGGGGCTACAGGCGACGACAAAGAGGTCGAGGAGGTCACCGACATGTTCGCTGATCTCGCAAAGAAGGTGAGGCGCATAAAACATGCGCGATTATCAACATCTTGCTGACAAGACACAGAAGAAGAAGAAGTCCTCCAAGAAGAAGGAAGGCGAGGAAGAGGATGGCGCAGAGGGCGACTTCGCCGCGCTGAAGAAGAAGAAGAAGTCCAGCAAGAAGAAGGTCGAGGACGACTTCGAGGCCAAGCTCGCTGCCGCCGGCGGCGACAAGCCCGAAGGCGAGGAGGAGGTCGCTGCTCCCGAACCCGAAGTACAAGAAGGCGACATGATGAAGGGCACCGGCATCTGGGAACACAACTCGACGACCCCCATCTCGTACAACCTCCTCCTGAACCGCTTCTTCACGCTCCTCCACGCACAACATCCCGACCTCGCCAGCTCGGGCACAAAGAGCTACAAGATCCCGCCCCCACAGTGCATGCGCGAAGGAAACAAGAAGACCGTCTTTGCCAACCTTGCCGAGATTTGCAAGCGTATGAAGCGTTCCGACGAGCACGTTGCTCAGTTCCTGTTCGCTGAATTGGGTACGAGCGGTTCGTTCGCCGACCAGAAGCGCTTGGTCATCAAGGGTCGTTTCCAGCAAAAGCAACTCGAGAACGTTCTCCGACGATACATTGTCGAATACGTTACCTGCAAGACCTGCCGTTCGCCCGACACCGACCTCTCCAAGGGTGAGAACCGACTCAACTTCGTCACTTGCAACAGCTGCGGATCGAGACGTTCGGTACAGGCCATCAAGACTGGTTTCTCGGCCCAGATCGGAAAGAGGCGGAGAATGGTGGGTTAGAGGAATTGATGTTATGCGCTTTACGATGTTCAATGTTATGCATGGCTTGGGCTGGGGATTCTCGATCAGCGGGCGCTACGGCTGTTGCTGTTATGACGCTTTTCGGCGGTATGAACGGTCATGATGATTCAAGCAATGTCTGTGGAAGGTTCATGTACATTGAGATGAGTCAAAAGATACAGTCTAATAGACGTGGAAGAGAAGCTGCTCAGTACATGCGTAATATGTGATGGCTAATATACGCGCTGGCAAGTAAGATGCAGACTAGCATGTGAGATATCGTGGGCGCTTAAGTCGGTCGCAAGTGGACCCTGATAGCTACGGTGCCTCCCGGAGCTCCCCTGCATCGTGGAGGCATGCGAACATGTTTGTTTCTACCCAACTCGAATGTCTTGATCCAAAATAGCTGCTCACGCATGAACGACTTTATGCTATTCTCTTACTCACCCGTGGCACAGGCTTGGCGCGTAGGCCAGAGCGAGGGAAGCGGGGCGCTGATTCGGCGGCTCGAGAGACCCCGCTAGCCAGCAGCTGCGCGCTGGAGGCTGAGCAGCTTGACCAAGGAGACACCAACGGGGCGCGCGGTTAAAACGTCTATACTGCTTATGGTGCTGATGCTTCCGTAGACTAATCTAATCCCTTCTCCGCTCCTCTCCTCTCTCCTACATTGCGCGTGGTTGCTGCTAACCTCCCTTCTCACCTCGTTCCGTGAGTAACAGCTACAGTCGCGTCAACTCGTCGCCTTTGGATCGCAAGCTTGAATATGTCAGGATACCAGGGAACTCCACCACCGGGTGGGAACTACTACCCTCGTGAGTCGCATGGCGCGTTGTATGTGAAAGCAAACTGACGAGAAGTAGCACCGCCAGGTACATCTACACCTTCCACATTCGTCCTGTCATATACCGAACGCTCCTTCTCCAGCCTTCCAAAACTATAACACCGCGCCTCCTGAACATCCCTCTAACATATACCAGACCAACAGGGCCAGCAGCAGTACTATGCGCCTCCGCCAGGCAGCCAGTCCTACCCTCCACCACCTACATCCCCTCCCGCACACCAACAGCAGCAACAACACTACCCACCTCCGCCAGGTGGAAATGCAGCTCCACAACAACACCATGCGCCTCCGCCTGAGCAACAGCAATATGCGCCGCCACCCGAGCAACAGCACTTCCCGCCCCCAGGCCAAGCGCAATCGCCGCCCCCGCCTTTCCAGCAGCAGCAGCAACAGCCGCCACAACAACAGCCACAGCAACCGATGAGCCCCGGCTTTGGTGGATTTCCGGGCGGAAGTCCAAGTGCGACTCCCTCGGGATATCCCGCCGAAAAGACTGGTCACCCAGGCATGGGCCATCAGTCGCAGATGAGCCAGCAGAGCATACCCCAGCAACCGCAGTACGTAGGCGCGGGCGCGGCAGCACACACATCGCCCGCAAGTGCCTCAGCAGACGACGTGGGAACTTTCAATGGAGGAAGCTACCGCGTGAGCCACAGGGACACGAACTCCATTCTCACCGTGCAATTAGCCATTGGATGTCCTTTTACTGCTAAACCTGGTGAGTCTTCCAGCAAATAGTTCATCCTTACTAGGACGAGCAAAGACATGTGAAGAACAGATATCTAACACAACCCCAGGCGCGATGATAGCAATGTCCCACACCATGACGCTAAAAGGCAACCTGAAGTTCTCCCTGAAGAAAGCCCTCATGGGCGGCGACATGTCCAAATCCACATACACGGGTCCCGGTGAACTTCTTCTCGCCCCTCCTTCCATCGGCGACATCACAATCATCAAGCTCGGTGGAAAAGAGACATGGTCGGTGGGCCGCGACGCTTTCCTGGCTTGCACACAGGGCATTGTGACGGAGTATAAGAGTCAGGGAATCGGCAAAGCCATGTTCAGCGGTGAGGGACTGTTCGTATACAAAATTAGTGGCACGGGTGTGCTTTGGGTGACGAGTTTTGGCGCGATCATTAGGAAGGATGTAAGTTTCCATTCATCCATCTCCATGCCAGATTGACGGAGTGCTAACATTACCGATCCTTCTAGCTCGCTGCCAACGAGAAATACATCATCGATAACGGCCATCTCGTTGCATGGAACTGCAAATACGTCCTCGAGCGTGTTGCCAGTGGTGGTATCATCAGTAACATGACGGCGGGTGAGGGCCTTGTATGCAAATTCACGGGACCGGGCACAGTGTTCATGCAGACGAGGAATGCGGCGGCGTTTGGGCAGTGGTTGGCCGCGAATGCTGCTGCGCCGTAGGTTGCATGTCAAACACGATGTATGATGATATGGGATAGTTGAGTTCAATCATGAATCAGAACAATTGATACCACCTACCTATCATCTACTATAATCAAAAGCCACAGGACTAAACAACCCCCCAACCCCACCCCTTTACTTCGGCGCCTCCAAATTCTGCACCCCCTCCACCCTCTGCACAACCCCAAACCTCTTCCTCCCCTGATCAAACACCGCATAAACCCCCTTCAACCACGTATCGCCCAGAATATCAAACTCGCTCTTGCCCCTCGACTGAATCCCACCATACTGCATCCCACCCCCACATTTCGCGAACCCAAAATCTTCCTTTTGGACTTCAAACACTTTATCGCCGACCGCCAGGGCTAACGTAGGTAAATCCGTGACTTTAGTCCCTAAGGGGAAAACCCAACCCTGATGCGCCTTATCGAACACCGCACCAGGAATCGTACTGTATATCTTCTCGCAGAGCGTGTCGTCCAGCAACGCCAGTGTAGTTCCCGTATCAGCAATCGCCGTGTTTCCGGGTGGTCGTTGGATCGTCTCGCCGTTTAGCATGGCGGTGGGCGAGGGGAACTGCTAGAACCCGCGTGAGGAGTCGATGGGGACGTAGTGGGGTTCTGAGACGCCGCACCGGCGGAGGACGGCGTCGTCGATGTAGCCGAATGTGTAGAAGGATTCTCCGTGATCGGCGTCGGTGGTGTCGCGCCAGGAGCCGAGGTAGCAGGTGAAGAGTTCGCTGGAGGTGGGGATGTCGGATTGGGATATCATCTAGAAGGAATTGGATCAGCAATGCGTTCGTGCTTTGGTGTAGAGACGATGCAAAGATGGAAGGATAGAAGGACGATAATAGAGACAAGAGCAGCGAACTGACCGATTCAACAGGCGTAGCCACTTTCTTCGGCTTGACAGTATTGATATGTCCGAATCCTAGACCTAACAGCCCGTCTCCTGCACCGGAAGTAAACTGCGGACTGAGTTTGTTGGCGAGTTCAATCGCTTGGTTCTCGATGCATAGGCCGCCGAGGGTCACGTTGTCTGTGCCGACGATGCCGGAGGCCGTAGAGCCTGTGTGTCGTAGTCAGTCCATTATGTGGTAAGACTGATTGAACGAGTGAAGGCAAGAGAAGGGAAGAAACTCACCATCCCCATACCTGATCCTCCAACTCGCACCCTCAACCTTCTTGAACGTCTCACTAGCCTTTGCATCAAAGACGTTATGTTTCGTCTTTCCATTCACCGCCGCCTTCTTCGTCGCAGGATCCAGCAGGATAGACTATACCTACAATCACAGAGTGTATCAGTCTATCGTCACCCAACCATAGTCAAGTGGAATAGGTAACGGTACCCAAAGATCACTGCTCCCAGTATCAAAATGCAAATTCATCACCTGCGGCGGCGTTCCAATCTCCACGGGACAAATATACAACGCGTCATTCTGCTGATCTTCCGCTTTGACCTCACCCGGTTTACCCTCCTCTTCAATTTTGCGCAGAACCGGTTTGGTTTCCTTCTTAGCCGCGGGCTTGAACAGGTTCTTTACGGATTTCGTGGCGACGTCGAGGACTTGGAAGGGCCCTTCGGTGGTGGGCGCAAAGTCGTATTTGCGGAGGAGGGAGGCGTAGGATTTTAGGCCGGCGCGTTCGCAGGCGGGATTGGGGAGGATGGATATGCGTTTTAGGTTTGACATTTTTGGGGGTGGAGGGGAGTGGGCGGAAGGTTGGGGGTTTTGGATTGTGGTGAGACAAAAGAGATATATGGTAAGAAGGTGGTATATAGGTTGGTCAAGATGAGTCGCTTTCAGGGCGTAGCAATAGTATCAGGATTGTTTTGAGGAACGAAGAGAGGATGGAGAGTTGTGTGATGACAGTCGTAGCCATGCGCCCACCACCTGCCGGTCTCACAATGCGCAGCAGGAATGTGCGGTGGACCATGACTGGCTCTTGCTCAAAGTTCGCCCTGAATACTCCTTTCCAACTACAGCGTCTATGCTTAATCAAAAGTAGTCTTCTTGCCCTGCGACTCAACAATAGCTTGACTCGCCCTCTGGGTACTCATATGAGCAGCACCACTCTTGATATTCCTCGGGTCCACCTTTCGCTTGCCACCCCGTCCGCCATTGCTGTCTCCAAAGTCTTGCCTGCCTCCCCGTTGACCTCCTCCTCCCCTGCCGAAACCTCTCTCGCGACCTGCATTCTCTCCATCCGCACCCTCCTTCTCATGGCCAAATCGCTTGTGGTACCTCGTATGGTTGTCTTCGGCGAACTCGCGACGTAACTCTCTGCCCATGAGCTTGTTGACTAGCCACTTTCTTTGCTTTACGGGCTTGCTGGTGTCGACTTCGGAATCGCTCTCGTCCTTATCCTTTTTGTTCTTGAACGCAGACGGGTCTTTGAACACAAAACCCTTGACCGCTGCCGTCGCAGCTTCCACGTCCCTGAAGGTGACCCAAGCGAAACCCTTGCATTTGCCAGAGTCTTCAAACGTTGCCATGTGTATGTTATCAATCCTTCCGCATGGTGCGTAGTGGTTCTTGAGATCCTCCTGGGTAACATCGAAGGAGAGGTTTCCGACGAACACTCGCTTGTTAGGAGGGTTCTTCGGTTTCGCATCCTTGGCTCCACGTCCGTTATCCTGAGTCTCTTCAGTCTTGGGCTTATCTGGCCGCCCGTCGAAGCTCTTTGCATTCTTGATCAGCAGCGCGCGGTTGTCCATCTTCATCTCCGTCAGAGCAATCGCCGAGTACATGGACAACTCAGTAGAGAAGTCAACGTATGCGAAACCCTTGTTCATTGGCTTTGTAGTCCAGCTCGGGGGTGGCGGCCTCGTGGGAGGGGGCATGTGGATGCGTGTGATTTGGTCGTCGGGGATTTCAGTATTGTCCGTCAAGAACTTTCGTAGCGACTCCTTGGTGGCAGACCAAGGCAAGTTGCCGATCCACACACCATACTCCGAGCGCTTTGCGGCATTCTCCCTGTCTTCAGCTGAATTTCCGTCTGTCTTCGCCTCTGTCTTCACGACCGGTGCTGCTCCGTCTGCGTCGGCGGCGGGTGTCGGGTTCAGCTTTGCTTTCTTTGCTTTACGAGCGGCTTTCTTGGAGGCGGGTTCGGGGAGGTTGACATCGATCTCGAGTTCTTCGGGCAATGCTTCGCGCTTGCGCTTCTTTGCGGGTGTCTCTGCTACGTCCTCGCTATCGGATTCTGCGACTTCAGCCTTCGACTCGGCCTTCGCGCGCTTCTTCTCTTTCTTTTCCTTCTTGTCCTTTTTCTCCTTCTTCTCGCGACGCTCCTTCTTAATAACGACAGCAATCTCTTCCGCAGAGGACATCTCTGTATCTGACGACATTGTAGCGTGGGTGGTGTTGCGTATCGATACTTTGCGGCTCGAACTTTTTTCTGGGGCACTTTTCGCTAGCATGGCCGCGCTAGAAGACCCTGGCTTAGTCATGCTCCGCCCGCAAACCATCAAGATCTGACGCATGTCTTGCTTGTTAATCGACTTTGCATTCGTCACATCATTACAAGAAGCGTATTCAAGAAAACTACCATTGATTTACTACACATATAGAAGACATGAAAGGAAAGATCAAATTGAGCCAAGTAGGAGAGCCGTAACCGAGCCAGAGGCAATGAAGCACCCTACTCACATGTCCCGTCGAGGTGTATCGAAGCGCGCTCCAGCGCCTTCTGTGTATAGGGAATGTTGTGTGATCGCGATATTCTCCAGTCCATTCCTTTTGACGCCCCCAGTACCCAGAAATCGAACGCTTTAGACACCAACCAGGAACACTTTGCCTACCTTTGTGCTCACGAAATATGACAGCTCTCGCCGACACTTATCAGACCGCTTACTGCATCTCCTCGTCGCTGGCATCGAGGATGTCGTACTCCTCATCGGTCATGAAGCCATCGTCGGACATCAGGGCGACGCTCTCAGCATCCTCAAAGAACTCGTCATCTGAAGCAACAGTGACAGTACGTGCAACGGTGCTCTTCTCAGATGGAGAGGCGGGCTGAGCGGTAGTGGATGACTCGTAAGTGCTCGACTCGGGAGACTCCTTGTCTAGCTGAGGGAAGATCATGCCGGAAGCGATGGGCTCAGATGCAGACTGCTTCTCCTCGACTGGGAGTTCGGCAACTGGCTCTTCGACCTTGACCTCCTCCTTGGGAGAAACAACTGGCTCCTGCTTGATAGTAGCAAGGGCAGCCTCGTGTTCCTTGCGACGGTTCGCTTCCTCGTGCACCTTGCGGCGGCCCTCCATGAGACGCTCCATGGCAGCCTTGCGTACACGCTGAACACGCTCCATCTTCTGCTGATCCAGCTGTTGCTGCAGAGAGTGGTGTGCATCCTTCATCTTCTGCAGTTGTTGTTGCTGAGTGTGTTGCATTTGCTTCATGCGCTCAGCCCTGGCCTGTAGGAGGCGGTCGTACAGAGGGTTCGACCTAGGAGCCACCTCGAACGTGGTGGCTGAGCCGGATGCGGGAGTAGGAACCTGGACTGGCATGGGGATAGCTGGTTGAGCGGCGACAGGCGAGGGCACGGCAACCACTGTAATGTCACACCACAGGCGATGGCCGAAGGGCATACCCTCGGGTGTCTTCAGGCGCCAGTAGGAGATGGCAGTACCCTCGCGCTGGGGTGCCTTCATGAGAACACGGAACTGGGCTTCCTCGCCGGCCTCGACAGTGTGGCCGAGCACGTTGCTCTCGCTAGCTTCAGCAAGCTCAACGTGGCTCAGAGGACGGGTGTTGTCGATGTTGAGCATGTTGTCACCACCAACGTGTCGGACGCTGCAGCCTCGTGGCCAAGCGTTGGGGCCAGGGTTGCGAAGAGTCCAGACCTGAACGAACTGGTGACCAGCACAGATCTTGGAGCCATCAATGATGGTGTCCCGGATGAAGTGTGCGTCGAGGCCCTCGGTGGCAGTCTCTGACCTAGGGATGGGAATAGCCTCAGTCTTGATTGGCGCCTTGACCTGGACGGATACGACAGGCTTCTCTTGCACCGGCTCAACAGAGTCGACGAGGAGATCACGAATGGCAATCTTCTCCTTCTTGGCCTGAGGCTCCGCGGATGGCTTCACGTCGACAATGGTCTGGACTTGGGTCGCAGCATTGGTGGAAGGAGCGACTGGGGCAGTCTCGGTTGAGGTAGATCGCCTATCGCACATGCGATCGCCGAGTCTAGCCATCGACTTACGCTGCTTGTCGTCGTTGAGTGTAGTAACGCTAACGCTGCGTACAGGCGTCTGGAACTTGATGAGCGGGTGAGTGTGGTTGTGCTTGTTACTGGGGTGGGCCTCGCAGTTCTGGCAGAAGTCGGTATCGTGGCAAACAGCGCACTTGTAGCGGACGCCGTCAATGTACGACAGATTCTCCTTGTCCTTGCAGAGAGGACCGTCACAGTAGATGCCGTAGTGGCGGTTTGCGCTGTTCAGAGGCTCAGCCAATGGCTCGTAGATGGGAACAAAGCGATGACGGGGGTGGATGAACTTGGCGTTCTTGAGGCAGTCAGAGCAGTAGTCCCAGTCTGGGCAGTTCAAGCACTTGTGGCGGACACCGTAGATGAACTTGTCGCAGCCATCACAGACGGCGTTGTGACGGACGTTCCTGCCAGAATTGCACAAGAAATCGGCCAGGGTAGGCAGGACAGTCTCGGACGTGGCAGGCTTGAAGGTGTGGCCAGGGTGGTGGCCGTGCTTGTTGCTAACATGGCAAGTGAGGCAGAGGTCGTAGTCTTCGCAAGGAACGCAGGTAACGAATTCCTTCTCGGGGAGGACCTTGACGCAGCAGTTGCAAGTGCGGGTTGGCTCCTCTTCGTATGTGACGGACTGCTTCTCATCGGTAAAGGCACCTGGGATCTCCTGTTGTTGTGGCTCCTCGGCCTCGGCCTTGACCTTGGGTGCGATGCGCTGGGTGGTGCTGTTGACGACGCTGCCGTTCTTGACGAAACGCTTGACCATCCAGTGGCCGCTTCCAGGGCAGTGGATGCCGTTGTCTACGCAGGCCGGGCAGAGATCGTAATCACCACCGTCGCATACACTGCAGTGGAAGTGCTCGTCCTCCATGGGCTCGTTGCAGTTGTTGCAGTATACGACCCACGAAGTGCACGCGTTGCTCGGCTTGGGGCGGAATGCTAGACCTGAGTTGTAGTTCGCAGTTGCGAGGTTGTTGAAGAAGCCTGTACAGTGTGTTAGCCGATGATCGCGCGACATGGACATGTGAAATTGTTGCTTACTCTGACGAGCGGTGAAGGCCTGCGGTACGGGAGCCTCGCCGTCAGCATCTACTGTCGTTGGTGGCGATACAGGGCTGGTGCTCTCGGTGGGCTTGATTTCTGGGGAGCGGGCAATGACGGGAGAAACGGGAGCGCCGCCCATTGGAGTGAGAGTCTCGGTGCTGACGGGGTGGGCAGTGGGCTGGTAGTGTCGGACCACATGGTTTGGCGCGGGTGTAGGTGCGGGCGCAGCCACGGGCTCTTCGCCGGGGACGGTAGCCCTCAGACGCAACTTGAGCTTCGCCTTTGCGGCGCGGAAGAGCGTCTTGTAGACCTGGGGCTTGTCCGCGTCGAGGGTGACATATGAGGCGGCTGAGTCGGAATAGCGCTCAAAGACGACCTGCTCACCGGCTTCAAGCTGGAGAACACTTCGGAGCTAAACATCACATATCAAGTCAGCACCGTGATTCCCGA